AAGTATAATAAGCTAAATGTACTTCGAGTATCAAAACGAAAGTACTCGTTATGCAGAATGGATCTGTATACAGTATTATATTATTATGGTTATTATATGATCCTGTTTTTATACATATTCATTTTAGTATTGTAATTCAGCAATGTAGACAAAATGTAGATATGTGAACTACTGTGGAGAGTACTAGTACAATACTGTATTATGCCATATCAGCATATCAGGTATTTTATATGGACAATGTAGCAGAGTAGAAGTTTAAAGTAGCAATAAATGAACATACCTAATAAAGTACAAATGTGTCAAAAAGTACTCAAGTACAATACTTGAGTAAATGTCACTTTTCATCAGTGGTCAACAATAAATGCTACTGTTCAACACTTCAGAGGAATGTGCATGTTGAAGGCAGCAGTAGATAGTGGTTAAGTTGCAGAAACCTCAAAATAATGTGTTTGTGTCACATCAAAACTTCTGTCAACTTACTCTCTCCACTCGTGACTTAGTGCTTATATTTAACCTGTTGCAAACAATTCATAGCCATTATAGTACCATGTGTTCACTAGTTAGTTTAGTTCACACTAAAACTAAAGCCCAACAGTGAACACAGGTTGTCCCGCCTTCTCCAGTTGGAACGTTAGTTAGTGAATCTGTCCATTTGGTTGACGGTTAACAAAAACAGTGTGAATAGCAGGTTTATTTATTATTTATTCATATTAAGATGGCGGCGCAGACAGCAGCAGCGGCCCCTAGCTCTCCCGAGTCTTTAGTGTTTTCAAGTGTTTTTAACGTTTGTTCGTCTAGTTCACCATCCATGCAGGAATACAGGCATGTACACATTATTGTATCTACTGTGTCCACATGGATATTAGCCCAGTCCTGCAGCAGGGTATAGAGCAGTGGAACCAGGAGGTGGCTGCAATTTTCTCATTATTTTCTCGGACACCTGCCAAAAAAAGCAAGCCTTCTCCTTTTTTGTCAAGGAGTGAAACAGATGTTGCGGGGGAGGTGGGGGGATGCAGGAGAAACCCTGCAGAGCTGCATGTACAGAGAGGGAAACTGCTGATGTGAAACATACTGTAATCAAACTACAAAGCTAGACCACAATTCGACCTCCATGACACTGTGTATGTTAACCATGCCGCCCTCTGATATCTCCTTCCAGCTTCCTGCTGCCACCACTACATCCCTAAGTGGTTGCTCAGGCAACAATACTACTCCTCCATTTGGAAACACTTACAAATTCATTTGTCTTTAAATCTTACCTCAAGGCCCACTTACTAACTTTTTTTTTGTAGAGGAGGGGATTTCCATGTGAGCCCCCACTGACAGGATCAAGACTGAACCCATAATCACGCTCTGAGTTTTGGAGCTACAGTTATAATAATGTATACAGCTGCTGCTACAGAGCACCATGGATTCATTCTGTAATGCTACTTGCTACATATTGAGCCTGGTTTTTTTCCCCTATATTTGTGTACATTCTGTTACATGTTCCCCATTAAATTAAGTGTAACGAGCTATTAGTGGCTTTTGCTCAGCCTTTCAGTTGCTGGAATCTTGGCATGCAGTGACATCACTAAAGATGAATGTGACTGAGCAATTAGACAGGTTGTTAACAAGCAGCAGTTAAACAGGATTATTTACACCATTCAAGAGGTTAAACTGAAACTGAGCACACCTGTAAAGCCCTGTTAATGTTTGTGTGCAAAACTGTGTAAATACGACCTGGATAAGTATGATTACCTTTGTAATTTTGCCTTTGTTTTTGTCTTCCCAATAACTCTGCCTCACCTGGCTTCTGTTCCTGAGCTGTCTGACTACTTGATTCTCGCCTCATCGGACTTCTATTGACAAGTTCAGTACATTCCAGTACCTTGGCATTAACGCAGTGTTTAAGGGTAGAAGAAATACAGAATGAAATGTAATATTGGGTTTACTAAGCTTTAGGGAGAACTAGTTGCAACACATATCTGAAGAGTGAAGCTGAATCATGCTCCCTCGGCATGGGGCGGCTGTGGGTCAGGAGGTAGTCCACTTATCGGAAGAAATGTGCTTCTATCCCCTCTTCCAGTTTGCATTTCAAAATGTCCTTGGGCAGGTTACTGAACCCCACATTGTTCCCAGAGGCACGGCCATTGGTCAGTTTGTGACTGAGCATTAGATTAGATCCTCATGAGCCGCCCAGCCATCAGTGTGAATGTGTGGGGGGGCGGTGCATGTGGGTATGTAGTGTATTACATTACATTACATGTCACTTGTTAGACACTTTACCCAAAGTGACTTACATACATTCAAGACTGTGGGCAATCACTACAGGAGCAATTTGGAGTGGAGTTTCTTGAACCAGTGCCCCCCTGATCCAAAGATCAGACTAGAAAGCCGCAATATAAGTCCCTTCACCATTTGCCAAGTAGGCAAACATGCACAGAAAGTCACTTGGATTTATTTGTGTGGCCTTTTTATAAATACCTGCCTCCTGACAGGAGATGATAAACCAAAGAACCAATGACTTTGTGTTGGTGACCTCCAGTTACCCTAAAACCAGCGACGTGCAGTCAGTGCAGTCAGGGGAGGCAGAACCTCACCTGTCATACTCCAATGTAACGGAAAAACAATTAAAGAAAAACTAAATAATAATAATAATAAAATGTCTCCACTGATCTTGTGTAAATGTGATTTCTGTATGATTCCAATCGCTTTTTATAGTCAAAATCAGCAAATTTGCCGAGCTCCGCTACGGGAGCGATGAGAAGTGAGGCAGGGACGAGCACTGCCTCTCGTAAGCCCACAGTAACTTGCTGGAGCGCGGGCACTAATTTAGCGCGGGCACCAGAGTTCCCGTTAGCCGGTAATTACCGGACAATGACCGGTAAAATATGCTGAAGTCCGGCAAATCTAAATCTCTCCGGTCAAAATGTCCGGTCAAAATAATTTTCCCTTAGCGCAATACCGCATCAGTTGCGCCACTTATGTGACAGACAAGAATAGTATGTGACAGACAAAAGAGTATGTGACAGACAAAAATTGTCAATTCTAATGTCTAACACTTAATGTGGAGAAAGAGATGTCCTGTATGGGTTGATTGTGCGTTGATCTGTTGGTAATGCCTCGGGGTTCCGGTGGGCATGTAAACAAATGCATAATGCTGCGCTATACTTTGTGGCCTCATCCGGTTGCATAGCGACGCTTATTGTTTAGGTGTCTTTTAACAAGCAGGTAGTCATATCATTAGCTAGAACTAGCTAGATCTGATCGATATGGACATAAATGCGAGTAAAGTCTAATCTGACAGGAGAGAGAGATCGGCTGCTGCTGACGAGTCGACACGCAGCTCTGCATGATCCCCTGCAGCGGCGAGCAGAGCAAAACACACTTCAGGTTAGAAAATCACACGTAGCTATTTTAATTACCTCTCAAACTACCTAAACTAGTTATAGATATGTTTAGTTTTACTGTCGGGTCACTCATTACTGGATCCGCGAGCTGCATGATACTGACGGGCTGTCAGGAGAAGGAGAGAGCGCTCCGTTTATTATTCCCGCGTTTTTGTAAATTACTGTACACTTTTGAATAATGTAGTTAATCTACTATAATTAGTTTGTTTAATGTCGAATCATATCAATTTGTTTTAAAGCTCAATAAATAACAAAGAAGACCTTTAACCGGCACTTATCTAATTTTGTCCGGAAGATTTCAACTTTAACGGACATGTTGACCGGCAAAAAAATATTCTAACGGGAACTCTGGCGGGCACTTATTTTGTGAGCGCGCTCAAGCTATTTACTGTGCGCTGAGGTGAGGCACAGATGAGCTCTGCCTCACTTCAGAATACGTCACCCCACAGAAACTGGCTGGAAAGCGGGCCCTAAGCGCATGCCTGTTCCCATCTCACTGTAGGTCACCAATGTAATGTTTGTAGATCCCTTTATTACATTTATCCTCGCCATCCATAGTCTCTAAATAACTTATTTCACGTATATATGATATTTAGGCTCGCTGGTCTCATCATACAACGGCAATGAAAAAAGCATCAGGAGAGGCAGCCATAACCTCTGCCGCACTGAAGGGGGCGCACGTGAGCCCACAGGTTCTTGTTGCTACTGTTATTCTACCGCAAACAACAAACTAGACTTTTGAAACTACAGGAAGATAAGGAGGACTTTTACAAAACAGTAATAGAGATTGTTGTCCAGAAGGATAGCATGGACTTATATTCATCTTCAAGTCAAGGTAAGACCACAACTGTAATGAAAATGGGATCTTACTTAGAAAGAACAATCCAATATTTAGATTTTGGGTATCCTTTTGTTGATCGGTCTGTTTCAAATTAATCATAGCATCAGACTAAAAAAGCTTTTGAAAATAACAGAATATTTTGATTAAGGTCAAAATAGGCTATAATATTTGTAAATCTGACTCTGAAAGAGTCAGTGCCTCACCAGCCATGAACCTCACCGCACGTCACTGCCTAAAACCCTTCTCTGTGTGGCATGTTGAATTATGTTTGCATTTCCAATAAGCAGAATTCCAGCTTTTTGGCCGTGAAGAGCAGTTTTAAATGGATTACAAGATAAGAGACAGACTGTGTGTGACATAGCTCAGCAGACGGTTGATGAATCCTTCACATTTGTTAAGGATAAAGAACCTGTTCTAACTTTGGAGATGTTAAGACAAGAGGAGACAGTTATTGCTTATAATTTGTGATACTTATTCCCAAGTGTAAATCCTGCTCAAATGGGAAAATTGTTATCAAACCCAAAATAACTGATGACAGACAAACTGTTCCAAGATATTTGGATGCATTGTCTATTCCTGATTCTCACATAAGACTTCATTCACACCTTTAGCAAACTCAGAAGAACTCTTTAAACTCACTTTGGGTTTATCCATGTCTGACCTTCTGACAGAGGCAGGGTAGACTTCCTGCTCTACATTTTTCTTAGATAAACTATCAAATTATAATCTTCAACACGTTTAAGGACCTTATTAGGGAGCCACCGTACCTGCCGGTCATGAGCTGGCTCCGGGACGGGCTACAGAGCGGCTGCACGTAGTAGTTCTCCAGTTTGACCCCCTGCGCTGCCAGCCGGTCCAAAGTCGGGGTTTTGATCTCGGAGCCGTGGTACCCCACATCCCGGAAGCCCTGGTCATCCACCAGGATGAAGATGATGTGCGGCGGGGAGCTCGGCTTCTCAAACTCCTTCTCCCGGTTGCGCAGGTCGGCGTTCCAGTTATCCCACGACATCTGAACGCTCCACGTCTGAGAAACGATGAAGCTGAGAAACAGGGTGAGGGGGACCCACAGCAGGAACATGATTCAGATAGATCCAGATCCAGATCCGGGTGCACACCTCCAGGCACGGTTACTGTCGGGCAGTGGGACGGTGTGTCCGAGTGGGAACGTGTTGCACATTTTCAGGGGGGGCAGCACCGCTTGGTAATCGGGTCTGCATCGTGTTCAGTGTTCAGTCCTCCTCTCCAAACCATAGACTGTATGAGGCTCCAAACACACTGACAGCTCCGCGGTGTGTGGGGGGGCAGAGGCTACAGCTCTGTGGATGAACCCCCGGGGAGCCCAACACTCTGCATGGTGCAAACAAGTTCCAAAACTGTATGTACAGGGGATGGGATATCCCGACTCAATAAGTTGTCAAAAGACGCACAGAACTTCCAAAGAACGAGCAGACCTTGAAGCGGCTTGTGCGGTGCGTTCACGGCAGATTGTGTCCTCCATCCTGTCCCGCGGAGAGCGGAGAACCTGTGAGGAGTTCAGGCTCACCCTGGACGTGTTTCAGGAGGAGGCTGCTGGTCCATGTGGACGCCCTGCAGCAGGCTACACTTTGATGCGTTCACGAGCCGCTCGGAAAGCTCGACACCCACGGTTTAGTGGGAGGTAACGCTGCACATTTCATTTTCTAATGTATCTTTTGTTATTCAGCATATCTTTTCTCTTCTGTACATCCATGAAAAATCACATTTGTTTCTCAGAATTAGAAACAGGTTTATTGCTAAGTAAGTTTACACATAGGCCTACAAGGAATTGTCCTAGATGTATTTGGCACATACATAAACAGTCAAAGAAGATTAATTGAAAGAAAAAACACCATAAACTAAACAATTGTAAAAAATTAAAAACTATTTTTTAACATAAAAATGTAGGGATATATATATGAAAATATATATACTACGTAAAGTATAATAAGACAAAAATACTAATAAAATAAAAATAAATGAGAAGTGGAAAACTGTTCAGATAGCTTTGTGTACAAATGTGCAACATTTTTGGAGGGTTGTGCAGGACTTACAGTACATAATTGAAGTAAATAAAAACAAGATATTGTTCTCATAGTGTGCAGTGTCAGTGGGGGTCCATGGCCTTGTTAACGAGGCCGATAGCAGACGGGAAGATACGGTTCTTGTGGGGAGCGGTTTTGATGGACCATAAAATATAGCAATTCTTCATAAAAAAGATTTGTTTAGCTTTTGTTTTGTTTGTCTTTTTTATGTATTGAAGTTTTTCAACATGGCTTAAGGATAGCAGCAGATCATATTTGCCGGGGCATTACTAGCCTTGAATTTAATGCCTACTGTCTTTCCAAAGAATTAACCTATTTTTATTGAAGCTCCTTGGTGAGCAGAGCAATCTGTTTTTCTTTTCTGGATTTACACTCGTGATATTTGATTTATGTTTTGGCCCTTGAGGAAAGGTACAGAAATTAAAAAAAACAGCAGGGGAGATATATTTCACATCCTCCCTGGTGAAAGGAAGGTACACTGAGTGACATGTAGAGGTAAGGCTGCAAGAACAACCATTCTGCAAACTGTATTTCATTTCATTTACTTATTTATGAGGGCAACAGACACTAATCAACACTGTCGTAAATGCACCAGTGTTAGTATACATTTCAACTGCAGTCCTATGTTGAGATCTTTTGAAACCAGCGATGACACCACACAGAAAGTAAAAAGCATTCTCAAGACACAAGCCATAAAGAGATGCAGGAAACAGATCAACTGTGTATTACATTCACATTGTACACTTTACAGTACATGTAGCCATGCCATCGAGCAACACCAACCAACAAGAAAACTGCCATGCAATATTTATTTTTTTTGCACATGCGGAGCAGCAATAGGAAATGTCTGAATGTAGCAATCGGAGACGGAGATCTTGTTAAACATTTTAAAAGATGCAGTTACAAGGCAGTAAAATCCTGAATTGTCACAATGAACACATGAGCTATGCAGCACAGACCTGAACAACTCAGTAATAAAAGATTAGACCAAATTGTAATAAAGTGCAAGTCAGTACTCATATATACCATGTGCGTGCAAAGCAACAACAAGATACAGAAACATGCTGCTTATTAAAAAAACTAACCACAACATTAGCCAGAGGTGGGAGAAGTACTCAGATGTTGTACTTGAGTACAAGTAGAAGTACCAGAGTGTAGGAATACTCTGTTACAAGTAAAAGTCCTGCATTCCAAAAGTTACTCAAGTAAAAGTACTCAGATGTTGCCACTTCCTTACAGAGCCCCTCCTCCAACACACACGAACGCGCACATGACCAATGAGGGCACGAGATAAGTTTGTGCACAGATGGAAGGCTGACAGGCAGGTAGGCCATCCAGTTATTTTAGCCGGGCCGGCTAAAATGATTGGTCGTGCTTTTTACAGTACTACGGCTTCCACAGATGACATTTTTTTATGGATTTTTTGTCACAGCACTTAAGATATTCATTGCTATCGGGATGTTAAGAGCATTCCATGGAATATAACAAAAAGGGTATCTCAAGCCGGTTTCTCAAACGTACCTATACCCACCTTTAAAGTGTTCTCAAAGCTGGTAAAGGTGCAGCTAGTTTGAATGACTTTGTATACTGCAGGGTAGCTTGTGAATTTACTCCAGGTGGAACTAAAGTCTGATTTAACACTTGATTATATTTCACATCATTCATTGTTAACCTGCCGTTAGGCTTTTGATTATTACTCTCCTGCCAATTCTAATAATCTGACAACAGGCACACAGTTCTTTGTTTTATCAGGGTTAAGTAATAGGGTTATTGTTCCTTCAGATTTGTCACCAAGTTCTGGAAGTAATAAGTAGCACTTCCAGAACCTACATTAGAAGCAGAAAAGGTGGATGATCGGGGAACATAGAGGTTGTAACCTGTTAGTAGTCTTTCCCAAAACAGGTGACATGTTTGCAGGTATGCGTGTAGTTTGTGTACAAATATTGAAAATCTTAAAAAGTAAATGTAGCCTTACAGCATGAACAGGTTGATCAGGATTAAGGTGTTTGTTGATTAAAGCTGATCTAGCAGCAGCCTCTCCTTGGTGCTGCTCCATAACTGCCAATATTAGCATGATGCTGCTGGGCTGCCATAAAGAGGCCTGCTGTGAGCCACTGAATCAGGCAGGAGGTGTCCGGGGCCTGGGGGCCTGTACAGTGTACCTCTGAAAGCCCCCTCACATGCTAGGAATATGAAGCTTCTGGAAATGCATGCTTGCACAACACACATGAACAAACAGCCGTAAAACCAGTGGTATTGACACTTGATTAAATGTTCCGTTTGACAAAGTTGACAGATTGGAGCGTCCAGGGGTCTCCAACCTTTTTTAGGGTTAGAGCTACTTTCAATAAATAAAACAAGTCGTGAGCTACTTTTACTCCTTTTTTTTTTTTGCAGTGTATATATTTTGCACATTTTAACATTATTATATGCTTACCTTTAACCTTTGTGTGCGGTTTGGGTCTGTGGGACCCGTTTCCAGTGTTTACTAAAAGAACATGTATGCAATTTAATTATTTTAACCTGCTTTATTTGGGGGTGGACCTCACATCCTCTTGGGGGGCCCGGGGGCATGCATCAATCTGGTGCACTTTGAGCACAAAATGAATTTATGGATACAGCTCTCAACACTCATATTTGTTACTGTCCTATAGTACACATTGGAATGATTTCTTACTTAATTTTTTACAACTATATTAAATAGATGAAGGTGTGCATTGGAAATATTTGTTTACAGAGATGACCAAAGAATTTGAGAAACACTGAGATAACTTAGACTATTATAACTATCCAAAACACTCAGAGAGTCCTTTACCTCACTGAGCTGTAGTTATCAGTCTGACAGGAGAGAGCTCTCCCTCTCCTTGTTGTAAAAACAGCTTCTAATATCTGTTAGCTCTGAGCTAGCACCAGATGCTAACAACAAAAATCCCCGTAACTGGTCTCTCGCTCTCTCTCTCTCTGTCTCGCTCGCTCACAGAGGATGTGTGCTCCTCCGTGGCGATGACAGCTTGCGTTAAAAAATAATAATAAACATATTTGTAAAGTGGGGGGGACACAAACAGGATTTTGAAAAGTGGGGGGGACATGTCCCCCCTGTCCCCAGTGGACATTACGCCATGCGTGTGTGTGCGTCAAGTGCAATAAATATATATGCAAGTTGCGACACACACACAGTAAAACTCTGACCCCCATGTGTTTCTGCCAGAAGGAAAATCACGGTCAAACTCCTTATGAAGTGGTGAGCTGCCGCTCCACATTGCTTTTCTTCCCGACTGCTTCCTGGTCCCGCAAATCAAGCAAGAACGTGATTGGTTGATATTCATTGTGGGGGGTGGGGGGTGGGGGAGGGGTGTTAGATCAACCCAGTCTCACGGCATTTCGTGTTATAGTCACGAAATTAATTTAATCTATTGATTCGTGTTCACCAACACGATTTTCACCTTTTTTTCGTGTCACACAGAACAATTTTAAATGCAATGTATTTCTATTGGTAGTATGTTTCGTGCCTGCAACACGTCTTTTTGTCCGGTCGGGTCTTGGAAGACCAGAAGCTGTGTGGTTCATAAAAACATGTTCTTACTCAATATCTTACCCTAAGCCTAACCCTATCCCTTTTATTTTAAATTGTATAATGTCTGAGTTTTTTTGCCGTCAGTGAGGAAAAGAAATGGCTCAGAGCCTCAGAATACTGACATCTGTATTTTATGTCATCTTTTTTTCCTTCTAATTTGTTATTATTTGGTGCAGGCACGAAACATACTACCAATATAAATACATTGCTTCTAAAATCGTTCTGTGTCAGAATACTTAAATCTGTATTTTTTTTTATGTCTTTTTCCTTCTAATTTCTTATTATTTACATTGCTTTTAAAATCGTTCTGTGTGACACGAAAAAAATGGCGAAATCGTGTTGGTGAACACGAATCAATAGATTAATTTCGTGACTATAACACGAAATGCCGTGAGACTGTGTTGGTTAGATAGATATAGAGTGAAGTAAGAAGATATGATTCTACACTGTATTGAAGTAAACATATATTGTTTGAACGGGTTTTGATAATCACTTAGAAAAAGAATGTTATTCTCACTTTTAAATTCACTGACTTAGAGATTCTGTGTTTCACACACCAACATTGATCCTTATCACCACTAAGAGCCAGATGCTGTTTCTAAGTCGTTAAAGACATCGTAAAATAGGAAAAGATCCCCTGGAAAAGGTAGGGAGGGGAGATCGGGACGGAGATAAGAATTGACTTTTGACCTTAGGGGACTTTGGAATTTCAAGTCCTGGAGAGAACTATTGAACCCGGCCAGAAGCGAATCCAGCCAGTCAGGGCACTTGGGGGAGGTGGTCAGTTTAAACAGCTCCTCCCCAGGGGTTCTCTGATTCGCTTGGGAGAAAAGTGGGAAGGAAGAATCGACAAATCTCCGCCCCAAAGACAGATAGAAATACTGACGTTTGTGTGTATAAAATTGCTTTTGGGTTTGGTGAGTGGCAGGTCCTGAGAACTGTGTCCGTATCGCATCACAAACCTGAAGTCCAATTTCTTTTTGGTTTGATGAGTTGGCGGGTCCTGACGCATTTGTCCGCATC